TAATAAGTAATAACCATATTGTAATATTTTAACTTGAAAGGCCAGACTGAATCTTTTTTATAATCAATGATCAGCCTGGTCTGTCTGTTATCGCCAATTTATCACATCTTACAAGAATTATCGGATTTGTTTTGTAGAGACAGAAAATTGGTTTTTCCGCTCTAAAATATTTGGTTTTAATTTTTAAATAGTTGGTTTAAAACGTTTATACATTTTACATTAAAATAAATATAATTACAATTTACATCCTTGAGAGATTTGCATGACTGTTTTTGTTAGTATAATTTATGTATTGTTAAAATATTGTAAACAATTTTTGTTTAGATTACATTTATTAGGTTTCGTTATCCACTTGATCAACTAAATTCTTTTCAATTAATGAATCTTTAATTAAGGTTTTGGTTGAGATAAAAAAGTTGTAAATAATACTGTAAATCTTATGTACAGTAAAAAACCCAGCTAAATAAGAGACACGTTTAATATTTATTTGCAAATGTTTATTGTTGGTTAAATTTTAGATAATTAATATCAATTTTATATCCTAGTGTTTCGAAAATAACGTCCATTATTAAGTAATTTTGTAAAATAGGACCAAATGAAAAGTGTTGAGTTTGCTCGAATAAAGTGTTAATATCTATCATTTCATAATTCTATCTTTATCTAAACTGTATTGTACCCTGGCAGAAAAACATTCGTTTCCAATTACCAACAGTTATTTCATCTGACGGGGTTTTGTGTATTTATGATCAAGGAGTTTATTTTTATACGATTCACACTTAAGATTTCAACGGGGTTCCAAATTATACACCAAGAAGCCTTTAAATCCCTACCCTGTGAGCGAATATATTTTTGGAATATGTTATATTTTGAGGATCGAAGGTTATTCCCAAGATATAAAAGTCCATATACGAAAATAAAATGGAGAAAGAACGTTTCGTTTTTGTCGTGCAATCGTTAGCCTTTTGTATATAAAAGAGTGGCGAATGAGGATTCTTTCGATTAAGGATTTTATTTGTGTACCTGCCAGACAAGAAATCCGGAAGAAAAGAGTTGTTATTGAAATAGATGAATTGTTTAGTATTTTTATTTGAATATATTAAAGTCCTGCAGTTCATTTACAATGCAATTAATTCAGTTAATACGTATAAATAATTTTATATACATTAGAATATGTAATTCAACTAGATAAAAGAAGGTTTTTGTAATGAATCATAAAAAACTAAAATAAATTTACACAGTCTATTTATCAACACTAGTTACCTCTGAGGAGAGATTAATAAAATAGAGTAATACTTACAAATACTTGGCCTTAATAGTCAATTTTACATTATTATTTCAATTTTTGGGTGCGGGGTCATGAACCTGAAATTTGATTGTTATTGATCACTTTAGTCTATCTATAATTGCTGGTTCAGACTCGTTTCTGCATTTCGCCATCTTCAGAGTATCTGTGTTATATCATTGAAGTCAAATCTTTTTTTTAAGGTGTGGTCCATGTGTCGGTGTTATCTTTGTTTGTCGGTGCCTTTGCTGGATTAAGTCTGGTTTATTTTTGTTATTTATTTTATTCCTCGATATTTTACTAATTTCCGTAGTATCTCATCCAATTTATATTCTTGATCAAACTGTAAAGGCTTGGTGTATTTGAGTATTCTTATTTTTCGCTATTTTTGTATGTGTGTCGTGTAGTAGTTTTGTGTTTGTACTGTTGAGGATTCGTGATGATTTTGTGAGGTGAGTCGCGTAGTTTGATTTTTCCGTTTTTCGTTTTTCTAAATTAACTGATAAGTCCTTTGTGTCTGTCAGGAATAAAAAAAAGAAATTTTGGTCAGGAATAATCTGGATCTCGCCATTGTCTGGATAAAAAAATTCAACAGTTATCTGTCAAGCTTTTGACTTATTTTGAAGTCATTTTTAGAGCAAAACAATGTTTTGTAGTAGTTTTAGATTATGTTCGTGGTCTTCAGTGCAGTTGTATTTTCTAATTTGTCGAAAAGATTTGTTAGTTTGTTTGTTGTATTATATTATTAATAATAATATTTTATTTGTGAACCATCTTGGTTTAATTTTTTATCTTAAAACGTATTGATTATGCTTTTCAGAAGATTTCACAAGAAACTGAACTAGTTTATTTTTTTTATATCCAACAAAGCATACGTTAGCATTGGTTAGTGTCGCTTAGCGAATTACTAATTTTGCCTTTTCCAATTAATTGTTGTCAAAGAGATGTAACATATTTTCTAAATTGTTTGCATACATTAATTTACGTGAAAGCACCAAGGGCTTGTGGTCAGAATAATTTTGACCGCCAACAAAACAGCCAACAAGAATCAGGTCATCAGAAGTGCAGCAAAATTCAATATTTGAATTACACGGAATTCAATAAAAGGAAACTCACCTTTATTAAAAGTTGTAATCATTCAACCATTCAAAACAACGAGTTGCTGTAAAATTGTTCACCTTTTGTACTTTGAATTACAATGTCAATTGGCAATAACTTTCACGTATGTAATCTTTATTTATTTTCTCCAATATCTACAGTTGCAGTCTGAAAATCCAATCAAACTTTATTGTATTTACAAAAGTACATCTTACAAATTGGTATAATCAGTTTCTTATTGGCAAATACAAAAAAATGGTTTATGAATTAGATCGAGTTGAATAAATTATATGTACCCACATGAGAAATATAACGTGTTGAAATCGTGAGGAGCGATCAAGTGGGGTACAAATAGGACACCACAAGAATAGCACCACACTTTATGCGAGTATGAAATACTTGGTTCAAAATTTATATTTCCATCTTAAATTATAGTTTTTTCCAATCAACATATGTTTTGTAATTTACCCAGGCCCTGAAGATGACCCGAATAAAGGTCGAAGCGTCGGCAAAAAAAAATGAAAAAGGTGTTCCTCTAAACTACCTCATTCTTGACCGCTCCTCACGATTTAACAAAATTTGAAACAACAGGTCTCTAAGAAACACTCATTAAAAATTACGCAATACGCGAAAATTATTTGCTTTAATTCAATCAGCGTAAAATTCGGTTTTATGCTCTCCTAAAAGTGCTTGTTGCCGGTTTCAAATTAAGTAACAACTATAAAAAATTCACCTACTTGACCAAATTCATTTATTCAACAAAGGTTTCCAAAAAATAAAAACATTAAAAGACACTTCTAAACAAACAAAAACTTCGAATTGTAGCAAATGAATGTTTAAATTCCGATACAAAAACTATTTGAATATCTGTGCTGCTGTATGTTGAAGATTCACAGAAGTTTTTATTTAAACCGATTATAATAAATTTTCTTTGTTAATGTTGTATTTAAATCTAATTTTACAGCTGCAATTTTAAACGATTGATTTTCAATTTCGTTTTCTAGAATGTGCCTGGTTTTATTTAAAAAAAGAAAAGAAAGTATATTTCACTTTTCCCATAGTCTCTGGAGTTTAGGATAATTAACAAAGACATTTTACCCTCCAAATTTGTGAAAAGTTGCAAAAGAATAATTTTTTCCAAAAGGTAAGTACACACAAATGAAAATAAGAGAAAAAAATTAAAGTATTATTAGAAAAAATAAAAAAACAATCGATTTCAAAATTTAAGCTTGCCTTTTTTTTAAATAGCAGTACATCAATAAATTTTTAATAAATAGACTTATTATATATGCTGTTTTAAGCCTGGTAGAATGCTCGAAATTTAAAATATTCAACATTAACGAGTTATTAATAAATTTATCTGCTGACCACTCTCTCGTCTCTTTCGTATTCACAAAAGTCACGTCTGCATAAAGTTGTACTTAAAATGATTATTTCAATTTTTACTTTAGTTCCTAAAATTTTTTATAATGTAACAAAAAAAAAATTAAAAGTTCAGTCTCGTGTTTAAAGCTTACAAAACATTTGCAATGAAACTGTTTCAATTTTCAAAAAGTAAAATACAAAACAAAATTTTTACTAAGTTAAAAGTTATACAATATATACAAGAAATGAAAAAGGATACTTTAAAACAAATAATTTGCAATTCTATTTAATTAATAAAAAAACCTTCCTTGAAAACCAAGTAACAATAATCCACCTTGTAATGAGGTACAATGTGTGTATGTGTGTTTGCGCGGGTGCAACATATCTCATAAATACATGTACCATATAACATTATTTACTGTTTTGATAACTAGGTTATAGATCTATCTAGGATATAAATGTACGTAAACTATCTACTCATACATTCTCTAATCTACTACCATGAAATTTTTTTACTTATTGTTGCATAACGTTACTACATAACGTAAAGTATTGATTTTGAACCATGACATTACGATAATTGATTAGAAAATTAAATACAAAGTTGTTTGCAATTTTATTTTTTAAACATTTAAAAAAATATTTTATTATTGCATATCCCGCAATACGTTTCTAACAATAGCACCATTTCTGTGCGTGTTGTGTGTGTTCTGGACGCGCAAAAACAAAATTAACATGGTGTTTATAAATGAAGTCCTGTAGTTTTTAAGTAAGGAGATTTATCTTAAGATGGAAAGCTATCCTCGAAAAAAGTTTGACCAAGTTTATCTAGCTTTAAGTAAGGTTATAAATTACAAAGTTTAATTTAATCAAGATTTTGTGGTAGATTATAAATAAAATTGATAGTGAATAAAGGGTATTTTTTTTAAAGTTTAAAGACTAGTGATCAAAAATTTAATTATAATACCGTTAGGTCTTTTTTCAGAACTAATGTATATAAAATATTTACAATTGCTTGAGTTCAAGAATAAAAATGAAACGCCCATTGGCATTATTTGAAGTTTTCGTCCGAAAGGGTTGAATAAACGATTTTTTTTCTTTTTAAGAAAGGTTTATCGCCCTTAGGCACGTTACGAACGATTTTCCCCTTGACCTCGAAACAGTTGCGTACGCGTTCGGGACGCACGGCCTGTCGTCGGCAATCGTCGCTTCTTCCATTAGCAAATTGACGACGTGTCTGAAAACCCAGGGGAGGCCGGATGGAACTTCGTAATGCGGTTATAATGCAGATTGGATGAGAGGTGGGGTGAAGTTTTTCTACAGCGTACGGTATGGTAATTAAGGTAGAAGCAATGGCACGCTACCAGGCTGTTGCTGACCAGAGCAAACCGAGCCTTGCTAGCGTGCAGTCGTCACCAGAACCATCGACCTATCTCATAACTGGAGCATTTCCACAATATTGAATGTAAGTGATTCGTGCAAATATTTACTTTTTGCATTCGGTCGTGACCCAATTAATCGAGCTGTCAGTTTTATTAGGTCAATTAAGTTTGTTCTTGGTCCCTTTTTTCAAAGCCTATCCCTTTAATTGGCATCGAACAAACAGAAATTTCTTCTTGCTTCTCTTGCAAGGGAGATACTTGTTTTACAGAAGCTTTCAGAACCTCAAACCTTAATTATTTGACTTCGGAATGATTTAAACTTTCCATCTAAATTGAACGTTAGAAAATAAAATTATTCTACTTTCGTAATTCATCAGAAAGTTGCCAACACTCAGAACATTTCTCAATGATCCTACATTAATACACTGAGACAATAAAGAATCACCACCTCACTGTTTTTAATTTTTAAACAATCTCCAACACTCATAAATTGGATTATTTGACCAAATGACAAATTTTTCTATCACAAGGGTCAAGAATTTTCCACATCTATGTATTCAAGTTTACACTGGGAATTTGTCCCACATGCAAAAAATGACAAATATACTTAAAACACAAACGTTATGCACATATTTTATTTACGAGAGAATATTCTTTCTTGTCTGTATGTTTTTTACTTTTAAATAAGCATGAGAACAACTAACTCAGAAATATAAACATTGCTTAACAAACACTCTATATGTATTCTGTATGTTCTGGGAAAAATAAACTCTACTATTAAAATCATAAAATCATTAAAAATGACTAGAATGTTCACACTATTGGTGAAAACACGTTACAGTTATGTAAATTTCTAGATGGGTTTGCAGTTAAATTTCGTAAGTTTGTTTCCAATTTACCGACTATGCCATTATTTCTAACATTTCAAAAAAATTATGTATTAAAAATTGAAAATACAAATGCTATAGAAATGATTAGCCTTTAAATATATAATTAAACAGACGTCGAGGGGTGAGGCAAAATAGAAAGAAAAACACTCAAGTCTTTCCAGATTTCAAGAAATATATTCTTTTTATTAGAAGTATGAAACTATAAGTACCGATAAAATAAGCCCAATTAAATTAAAAATTAAAATTCTATGAAAATATGATTTGTACATTCTACTTTAGTCATAATTGTAATTTTTAAAAGAAATGTGTTTTTCCTATAACAGTATTGTTACAGAATGTACTAGTCATGTTGATCTATTTTTATAGCATTTTAATTTTATCACTCCATTATAAACTGAGAAGCAAAAAACGTAGCAATCTAAGAGTATATTTTTAATATCTCTAAAACAATCCTATACTGATTATTTTACAACTTTCATTTTGGTACATTTTGAAGCATCAGAGGTAAATAAACACAGATCTCTTCTTTGTTGGTTTTTCTGTTATGCTTCTTTCTAACGCTTTAGTGTATACTTTTTTTTTAAGTTGTACCATTTTTAAGTTTCAAATTTGTTTGAGTGATGATTTTTAAGTGATAAAGATTCGCCTAGAGTCACATCATTGTGCGTGTGTGTCCAGGGCATTCCCAGAACAACTGTCCGAAGGGTTTTCCATCCCTACCGAAATACTGGAGGTTACCCACAAGGCCAGGTGGTCATCGGGTCCATTATAGAGAAATGATCGTTTTATTGTTTCCAATGAACTCCGTAATCGACATTCTACCGCTGTTGAGGTCAAGCAACGATTTCAAAAAGTTAGAAATGTTAATGTCAGTGTACGCACCGTGAGGCGAAGACTTTCCTAAGCTGGACTATATGCGAAAAGGCCGCTGGTCCAGAACTTCTCAGGCTCAGAACAGGTTAGGTTGCGGAAGAAATCACGTCAATTGGTCTGAGCAAGAGGGGACTAAACTCTTGTTTTCGGATGAGTCAAGGTTTTGTCTGAGGTCTTCTGACGGCCGAGAGAGGGTTTGGAGAAGAATAGGAGAACAACATTTTCATTCCTAGAAGCTATGGAGGTGGTGGTGTTATAGTTTGGACAGGCATGGAAGGTCGCACTAACTTGATCTTCATCGTGGGTTTACGATCATTTGCGTGATATATTGAAGATGTGTTATCAGAAGAAGTTGTTCCTTTTATGCCTCTAATTGGTAACCGTTTTATTGTTTTGCATGGCAATGCAAGGCCCCACACAGTTAGGTTGGTGACAACTGGGAACCGGCTGCAATTCAATGTTTGGAGCTGTCAGCATCTATTGCCGACTTATACCCTATCGAACACGTTTGGGACGAGTTATCAAAAAGGTGAAAGTCGCACAGTCATGCCAGATAATTTGCAGGCGTTAAGAATGGCGCTGTTGGAGTAGTAGGAAAATATTCCGCAGCACTTCATTCAAAACCTCTTAAAATCGATGTCACGTCGAATGCACGCGGTGGTCAACGCAAGAGGAGGAAATACTCCTTACTGAATTGAATTTTCAACACTGTCCTCCTGTTTTACTCAGTTTAATTGTTTATTTAGCTATATCTTATATTCCTCTTTAAAAGAATCCAGTAAACAATAAAAAATAAAAATTATGACGATTGCAAAATAAAAACGAGTGTGGCCATATTGTTTGTCTCTCAGTGCAGATAATTATAAATGGTTCATAATTGTTAACCTTTTAAAATTTGAACGAAAAGCTTAAAATTTTCTAACCTCGGCGAAAAGGAAAAATTATTCCAAGGATCAGTGAAGAAAATGAGTCTGAAATTTTGATTTTAGAAAGTTCTTTTTTGCAGGGGCATTAAGTTGTTGTTTTATAAAGAAAGGGATGAGGACAGGAACGGCCAAGATTTGAATTAAAATTTTGTGCTTATTTTTGAATATGGACAAATAAAATGTCACAAAAAACATTTCACAGCTGGAACTGTTTTATAACAAAAGATATTTTTATTGCTTAGGCAATATCGTTAATAAATAAAGATGATCGGCTGATATGTTTGAACAAGGTGTATTTGCCAGTGTTTTTTATAACAACACAATTTTACTTCATTATGTACTACAGCTCTACTATTATTACAGTATTATTATTATTACAAAATTGTTTGGAGGGGTTGAGAATTACATTTTTGTTGTAATCTTTCCCTCTGTCGACCTTGGCTTTTTGTTAATGTTAATTTAAAATATTACGACTAATATTAAAATAGAAAATAACACCTGAAGTTAAATTTGTTGAGTTTGTAACGAACTTGGGCTTTGCCTTTATTTCTCGACCATTTGCAGCACATTGTACAGGTTAACAATTTCACTTTGAAAATTATCAAGGTCATACAAAACGGCATTAATTAGTGTATAAACTGTGCTTGCTACTGCTAATTTCATTTGTTGTCGCACTTAAAATGCAAACTCTGAAATGTATTTTTTAATATTGTTCTTACTTGATAGGTTAAAAACCAGCAGTTGCGGTATTAACGGTACAATGTGATTTTCAAAAATGAAATCCTTTCTATTCTTAGACTTTTTTGTAATCAAATTCAAATTTTTGACCACAATTCTAGTGACAATTAATAAAAAAAAATTGAAACTATGAGAAATACAACAGGCAAAAGAAATTCATTAAATATTGTGTTCGTAATAGTGAGATTCATATTTCATTTCTTATATATTCCTTTATTTTTTACATTTCATAACGATTCTTTTTTGTTCTATTTGGTGTGTAGGGTAATGAAACTGTAATTTAGTCGTTACTGATCCAAGCTGTATACTGCCAAATTACTTAATAAAAATGACTAAAGTTGATAATTGTTTGTTTGTGTGTAATTTACTAACGAAATTGTACAAGTAAATTAATGCAAATACAGTTTTTTGTCGACTGAAGTTAAATTTATAAAAATACCGACTCTGTTGAATGCATATTTGAAAAATGTGTATATTTTTAATTTAAACTATTTTCAATTTTTTTTTGTGTGAATCTAAACTTATTTTTTCTAACATGAAAGAATCAATAAAAAACAACAACAACACGATTTAAGGTGAACTGTTTAAAAATAAATTCAAGCTATTTCACATGCGTTTAAATTTGTACAAACTTTATACAAAGAAGAATGATTTGGACTATAAAAGTGACCGTTATATTCGTAAAGATCTAAATCTTCAGGTTGGATTAGGTTCCACTCCGCCTTTTGCGTTTTCCTGCATATGCAAAACCTAAACCTTGGAATTTTTCGTATATCTGATTACACGTAACGTTTCGTTAGGTTTAAATCAAAAGACAGTGATTTATTAAATGAAGACAGATTTGCATAAATATTTTAGTCAATACTATTTTTATTTTCAATGTTTTAAAGTGCGACACACATACCACACACACGCACACAAATGTGGATGCTTTCAAAACCGAATTTAAGAATATTTCGTAAGTAAGGGTTCTCCCCTGGTGTGCACCAATTTTGGAATTACTAGGTCGAAAAATGTTGAAAAAAGATACATAATAGTTATATAGAACATCCTTTAAAGGCTTTTAGTTACGAATTGTTGAGGCAATAAAAAAGTTAAAAAAATTCAAAAAACATTGAAGATTTACATCTTAAATTGTATTTTTTCTAATCAATATGTTTTGTAATTTACACAGGCCTGATGTTGACCAGAATAAAGGTCGAAACGTCGGAAAAAATGAAAAAGTGTTTTTCTAAACGACCTCATTCTTGACCGCTCCTCACGATTTCCACAAATTATGAAACAACAGGTCTGTAAGAAATACTCATTAAAGATATAGCAATACGCGAAAATTATTTGTTTTATTAAAATTCCGTTTTCTTCTCTCCTAAAATTGCTTGTTGCAGGTTTTAAATTAAGTTACAACTGTAAAACCTTCATCCACTCGGCCAAATTCATTTATTCAACAATACTATTTTTATTTTCAATGTTTTAATGTGTGACACACACCACACACACGCACACAAATCTAGATACTTTTAAAACCGAATTTAAGAATATTTCGTAAGTAAGGGTCCTAACCTGACGTGCACCAATTCTTTTAGAATTACTAGGTCAAAAAATGTTGAAAAAGATACATATATAGTTATCCTTTAAAGGCTTTTAGTTGCGAATTTT